TATATATATATGATCGAATTGTCATAGCCTCTCTCTGCAATGATCATGCAGATATTCATTTACAGTTTTGTTCCTCTTAATTCGATCTCATTATAATTTTTGGACTTCAACAGCTAAATTTTTTCCCTCGAATACGACCACGAATGGTAATTGTTCTATACAAGTGTTTTTGAAGTGCGTTTTCGAGCACACGAGCACTGTTTAGCGTCATACTTGTTACTTCTATTGATGTTTTTGTGTAGTGGGCAACGGTTCATTCCGCAAGTCGGAAATACAACGGGCGTAGATGGCTGTTAAGCGAGCTGAAACCAGAATCTGAATGCACTTTGACCTAGTATTTTGTTCTGTGCATGCATGGAATTTAGCAGCTCCTTCGTAATTTACTTACTGTTTCAACTGCTCTTTATTTTAATGATCTAAAAACGCTGGGTTAAATTTTCGTTCGTTCCGGAAAAAAGTGATAGTTTGGAGGGTCGACGAAATGAATTTTCAAGAAAAACTTCTCAAAGTTTTACAACTTAGGCAAAAAAAATTTTCTGATCTGTTGAATGCTTACGTTCATGACCACAAATTGAATAAAGAACAGCGATTTTGGGTAGTGTTTGTGCGTACAACAAGAGAGGTTATATTCGTTTCGTTGAAGATTACTTCATTAATTTGTTCCGATTACTTGTCTTTCACTTATTTATTCGGAAAATACTTTTAATCAACTCAGTGATAAGAAAATTTATATTTCAATACAACATTTTTTGATTTCTTCATCACGATTATAAATATTTTGAGTTGAATTGTAATCATTTAGCTCAAATACAATAAGACTGATTGGGTTTATTCAGAAGAAAATGTTGTGATATTCAGAAGCAAATGCTATGGTTTATTAATGAACTGTGCTTTGCTTTTCCAATTGTTCTACGCGTCCTTCATCCATTTGAACGGTTTCTGTAGTAGAGATATCATTTTCTGAAGGTTTCACTTTATTGTCCACCGACTCATTGCTTTCAGCAGTAGTGACAAGTTCTGTGGTATTAGTCTGATGAAGTTTATTAATTGTTGCTTGTCGAATCGATTCATCCACTTCACCTGCTTTCTCTTTAGATTCATTTTCAAGATCTCGTTTAACATCTGGATGGGGACTAGATGGTGGATCACTGGGTGTACCATCTGACAGCTTATCACTTGCTGTTTCATTTTTTGGTGCCACATCCTTCGCTACTGACGTAAGATCCGAGGAATGGTCACTTGATGTAGCAGCTAGTGAAGGATGTTCATCTGGTGGGATACTCGATGGTGTGTTTGATGGATCTTCATGTGATGCGTTAGCTAAGTGGTGCACTCCTACTGAGTCAATCACGGCATTGCCTGGCGGATGCTTCCCCTGTGGATCGCCTGGCGGACTATTTGGTGAACTACCTGAAGCATCCGGGTGGTTGGCGGGTGGTGCACTTGGTGAAGCTGGTCTTGCTCCAGGTGGAGGTGGTCCTACAGGTGGACGTCTATGCCTTCGAGCTTCTTCCTCTTGTCGTTTCTTACACTCAGGTGTTGTATTATTGACTTCGATACAATGAACCATAGTTTCGACATTTGACACGACATCATTCAAACGTGATAAGCCGGAATTAACTTGATTTCCTGAATTATCATTGAATTACTGAATGAACTATTTACTGTGATTTTCATCACTGTTGAGGATCTGTTTACAAACCTGCCTGTCCAAGATTTCCATAGTCCCACCAATTTGTCACATTCTTTCCATTACTCCATTTGCTCCAGGAGGAGCCTTGTTGGAAGAATGGTGTATCAAAAACTGATGCAGGCTTTGAAGTGCTGGTGGCTGGTTGATAAGGCTGGTAGGAACTTTGACTTGGTGGTAAATATGGATTGTTCCAACCCCCTCCCCAGTTCCATTGATTTCCACCATTCCATCGGTTTCCCGAGTAGCTACCCCCTCCGCCCCATTGGTTTCGCGAGTAGCTTTGCGGATAATTCTGCGGGTAATAACTACCTTCTGGTCGATAAGGCTGTTGTTCGTTTGGGTATTCTGAAATACAATCGTCTCGGGTGGCTGAAAGCATTTGTTATGCTTTTAGAAATTGATGAAATATGGATTCATGGACCAGATGATCCAGAAAATTGATCGTAAATAGCAATGATTCAATCACTAAGTTCTAATTTATTGTTGTTTGCTGAGAGGGTAAAGTTCCATAAAACTGTTATTCTAACGAAACATTTCTCATGCGATTTGTAAATCGGATAGCGCAAAAAATACTCTGCTAATATATCATGAAGAAGTTTTGTTGTAGATCATTTGTGCTAAAAATGGTGCAGAAATGCTGACATTTTCATTTTCAGTTTGAAGAGAAAAATTGGAAATTTCTAGGCATTCTGAAGATAAATTACCCCAAAAAGTTGGTGTGAAATATGATGAGACGGAGGGACTCTGTTAAAATAATTCCTATAAATGAATTTCACCATTATGAAGAGTTGATGATGAAGAAGAGTAAGAGAACTGAACAAGAAAAAACGGATGAATGAACCAAACTCCTTCGTTTTTTCGACAAAACAAAACTCACCGAAACCGGACTGTGCTATTGGTGCAGTCGAGCCGAATCGAACAATGCAAAGTTGGAGCGTTGTTGTCAAAAAGAGGAGAAAGCACACGTTTTGACAAGGATACATCATCTTCTGAAAAAGTTGCACACGGCGTTAAGCTTGCAAATAAAACTGAGTGAACAGATCATCTGAAGCAACAAGCTTCAGTCATGCTCAACGGCAACAAGTGTTAAGATAGCTTTGCTTATATGAGCGCATTCATACATCCACTTATTAACCAATTGTTGTCCTCTGTGATAAACATCTAGGCTCTGTGCTTGACTTCATAAACAGCTGACTGACTGACTGATTGATTGACTTACTTTCTTTTGTAAATCTCATTACTTCCCTGAAATTGATAGATGCCTGGGATGTTTGGAAGAAGTTACTTACTTCCTTGAAAAACTGAGAGCAGCTGGGATGTTGAAATAAACAAACACAGCGCAATGGAAGAGAGGTATGGTGAATAGAGTGGTGGCACATTATATCAAAACTAGTACAACAAAACGCACTTATCTAAACATTAATGAATTCATTCAACAAACATTTTCATGACTGATTCTTGTTTAAAATTTCAATCAAACAATCAGAAATGCTCAGGAAATTTCTGAGGTTTCTGTTATTTTTGTTATTAGGATTTTTGCTTTCGTCAGTTGTTGCCCGACAAAGACAACTGACGAAAGCAAAAAAATTGTTGCTGAATAATGTGTTTGCCGTTGAAATAAACCGAGATGTTGGAAGGCAGCCATGCCTAGACCTACTAAAGGCTAAAGTTTGTGATGAACGGAATTCCAGAAAGACGAATATCGGTCGATCTGTTGGCTCGTAGGATCGAAGGACAGATGAGCGGACGGATGAGCAGAAGGAAGGATGGCAAATAGATGGAAGAAATTGGTTTGATTAGTTGCAAAATAAAGAGGTTCAAGAGCACCAAACAGCTGGTAAGAAGGAGAATCGCTCAAGAAGATTGTCAAGTTGGGAGCAAACTTTTATGCATATATATATATATATATATATATATATATATAT